CTTTAATGAACATCCGAGGTATACTTATGTTTTAAATAATTTCTTACTTCATATTAATTTTGTTGTTTTTTCTGCAATCTGGCATGTTCATCGGGTGTATATTTTTTTTTCTTTTTTTTATTGTTGTATAGTATGGGTGTTCCATAGATCTTATAAATTCTTCCTACATATTCTTCTAACATATTTTTTTGGTTCTCTTCTTTCCAGAATTTGTTAGCAATCTTCTGGTGTTCATCAGGTACATGCATTGTTTTTTGAAGATCTTAGAAATTGTTTCTATTTCTCATTCTTTTAATTCTTTCTCCAAAACTCTTCTTCCAATTTGTTGTTTGTTTAAAATAATTTTACACTTCTGGTACAACACTCATTTTCTAGCTTTCTAATTTGGAGACATACTATTTTTTGAGTCTGTTGTTTTTTTTTCTTAATTACATAATTACTCTCAATCAAATCCCACAAATCCCGTTACTTTACCTTTTGAAATAATATCAAATCCCTTCCTATTTTCCGGTTAAACCAACTATCAAATACTTCCCGGAACGGCCGATTGAACGCGGAAGATATCTGCAATACTGTATCAAAACGACGACTATGTGCACTCCGAGCAAGCATAAACCCATAAGTACGTCTTCGCCGCTAGTTGCATCGATATCGTCCATGGATTTGTTGATATGTTTTGGCTAAATCGACTATCACGTTTGTATAATTGCAGATCTGTTATAATCGCATACCAAATTCGAGCAATCAATCGCTGATTTTTCAACTTTTGATGGGCAGGACAACCACAAAAAAAGGTCACCCATTACTATGTTTATGTTTAACTGCGACGTGATAGTCTATTTGAGATTTTTTTTCGGATAATCTGTATATATTTGCTTATCTAACATACTCAGTAAAATGTTGCAGTCATCGAAGCATCGAAAATGGCAGATGACATTATGCTGCTAAACGCGGGTGAGCAAGTGATATCCCCTATTGATACATATAAGAAAATTGTATAGTCGAGTAAAACGTCAATAGTCGGATCTGTGTTTTAGACAGTGTTCTAAAAATCGGCCGAGGCGGCCGATTAATCGGTCGCCGAGGCGGAGGCGTTCCGAAACCTTTACGATTTTAGTGTAAAGGTTTGAAAAATCGGTTTTTTGCCTGTGAGGCGGTTTGAGGCGGTCCGAGGCGGTCAAACCTTTAAGGCGGGTCAAACTTCGGTGGCAAAAATCGGCAAAAAATCGGTCAAAAATCGGTTTTTTTTTTTTTTTTTTTTTTTTTTTTAAATTTTATAAATCAAAATAAAAGTTGGGATTTTAATAAAAAAAATGAGTTTATGCTTTATTTTGTTTATGTTAATTATTATTGTTAAAGAACTAATGATGTATGCCAAGAATGTATGTAAATTCAAAAAAAATTGTCTTTTTATTTATATTTTATAAGGATATTTATGTATTATGATCTTATTATTATTAAACTTTTATTATGTTATTAGAATATATACATGATCGAGATATAACTATGTTTAAATATTTTTTATCTATGTTTTGAGTATTTAAAAATAATATCTACAAATATATTATATTAAATTTTAAGAACCGATTTATTTCCGATTTATCACCGATTAATCACCGCCGCACCAATTAATCGTGAGTCGGTGCCTAACCGACTCGGACCCGATTACCGATTTTTACAACCTTGGTTTTAGATAGCATGCTGTTTGTCCGTAGTGTATTTAATCTCATGGGTTTATTCATGTTATAGATTGTAATTAAATCGATGAATGTGATAGTTGGTTAATGAAATTCGATAGTACATTAAGGTATTAGTAGTCAGATTTGTGTTTTAGATAGCGTGCTGTTTGTCCGTAGTGTAATTACTCTCATGGGTTTATTCATGTTATACATTGTGATTAAATCGAATCTATGTGATAGTTGGTTAATGAAGTCCGGTAGTATATTAGGATATTAATAGTCGGTTATGTGTCTTAGATAGTGTGGTGTTTGTCCGTAGTATAATTAATCTCATGGGTATTTTGATGTTTTACATTTTGTCAAGATACTATTGTGTATGTGATGTTTGGTTGATAAATCTGATAGTATATTATAATAGTCTGACAGCATGCTGTGTTAATTCGTTGTTACAATGAGATGTTATTTAGAAGAAATTCAGACCGAGATGTTATGAATTGAGATAGTATGCTAATATAAAATTTGTGTTGTTATGAATCTATATATTAATTGTAGAACGAGTATTAATATACCATTACTTTAGAAATGAATTGTTGGTCGCTTAACTACACTGCAGTTTTAGTTATGCGTGCTTGTGTAGTTATGTGTATGCCTATGATATGTTTAATTGTTATCAATATTTGTTGCGTATTTTATGTTTCTCATAATTACACAATTTTACGTACTTTACAGCCGAATCAAACCTAATGGCACAAATAGAACTAGACCAAGGCAGCTGGACCCGACAATTCCGATCCAGCCTACACTCAACAGTAGACTTCTTCGCAAATGTCAGTCTGCGAAAAGCGCACTACAAATGCCTCAAAAGAACGCCATTCTACCGGCTAATTTTACCGTTTGCCAAACATGAAATATCCATCTCGCAAGTCACAGGGACACAAATAGGCACAGTCCTCATATTGAAAACATACAACAAAGAGGACAGAGTATTCAAGATTGGAGGAAGAGAATTGCGCGTCACAGAGGAGGATTGCAATCTCATATTCGGCATCAAATCAGGTGAAAAAAGCATAAGTATTCGCAGAACCACCAAACCAAAATCCGGTCTAACCAATCGTAAATTTAGAGACGTAGAAAAAATACGGGTGGGGATGTTGAATCCTAAAATGCTGGAATGCATTGACAGTAGGGATGACGAG